TGAAAGCATTACTTCTACAAACATCATTGTACAACTTGACTGAATATTTTCTGCGAAGCTTTAACTAAAGTCTCTCAAATTGCTGTGTGTATATATATTTACATTATCTATTTTGTCTGTTGGAATAATTTATTTTTATTTATTTATATACATTTCAAGTGTTGTCAACAAGTGTGTTATTTTAAAACTAGTGTTGTTCATTTATTTATTTTTTATGTATTTTATGTGTATAACAAGCTTTGTCAACAAGTGATAACTTAAGACAATAAAGTATATTTTGAATTGAATTGAATTGATTAGAATACCGCAGACGGCCTTCAGAAGAATATTTTCCAAAAAGTATCTGTAGAGTTGTGAAATTTAACTAAGTAATAAAATGTTGAAACTTATATAAACGAGTATTTTGAACCTGTTCATGAAATAATCTTCCTAAATATCACTCGATCATGACAAATGGAGACTCTCATTTTCTTTAATTCATCTCGAGTAAGCTGAAGCTCTCGGAAGTTATTCAGATAGAATTATGAAGAAAATAATAGTCCACTATTTGTCATGATCATGGGATATTACCTAAGATACATTTTGCTTTAGTTTGTGAAATAATTGAATCGGCAGTTTTTTTTCTTCATTGATGACAAAATGCGAAGTGACACTTTTTTTTCCAGTTTCCTACGCTACCACGACACCGTGAGCAAAGTAGTGCGCGAAGTAAATACTCATATACTTTGATAAAAAAGTGCAAAGGATATAGGAAGCACTAGAGAACGAAACAACAAATCACAATACTGATGAAGGCCAAAAGCCCAAAACACGTGTTAGCTCTGAGGGTTATGTCCATTATTTTCTTCCCAGTTGTTCAAAAGAATCGCCTCGATATTTCTTCTATTAGGTTTTATTATAGGTAAACAAGAAAAATACAATATGGCACTAATATCACATTATAGAATTATAATATCAGACATGGAATTCAAATCCATGTTGTAGTTATTGATGTAAGTATGCAAAAATGCCAAGTGACTAGATATTGAGAGCCAAATAATTCAGACAGGCCAATATTTATTCATCGAAACCCGCATAATCCATCGCGGATCTGTAATGGATATTCTTGAGAAGATATTTCATGGATTTATAGCCACATGATATCCAAAGCAAACATAAAATATCAATTACAAAATCACTGATGTTTCAATATGATAGTATACATATCAGTGCATTGTTTATATTTTATCTGATTGTGGGATAATCCGTTATTAATTGGTAATCTCTTATATAAGATCTATAGTCACTCCCAATTTCAAATAATTCTAGATAATGATAAATAGATAATTATTTTTCAATGAATGTTATAATATGTTTTCTCAGAATTATTAGATGTATTATTTCATATATACAGGGTGTTTCGGAATTCATTACTCATAAAGATTTCAGGGTAGATAATCCAAAGGATAAGGTGTACACACTCGAAAAGTCAAGAATAATGTTTTATCGGGAGAATCTTCTTGAATCCTCGATTTGGCAGCGGTTCCACAGAGGACCTTAGAATGTGATGACGTTTCTGCAGGAGAAATGAACAAAATTAATTGCTTTGAGGCAGTTTCAAATTGCAAATAGTGCGGCCACACCATGGTCAATACCGTGGAGATGACGAAGAATCCCCAGTGGGACATCCATCTTCGCCTCTTTGCCATAGAAGCGCTTGTCGGCAACTTTTGTCTATTTGATCGACTTCTCTATCCTATAGCGGGGATAACTGTGCGAAATCATTGTTAGATAATTGATATTCAATAAATACAAAAAGCTCAAAGTAATATCCACACAATGTTCATAAAATGTACAACAATGGTAGATAGTTGATATCCTTTATAGATGTATTATTTTATATATACAGTGTGACCCATTTAAGATGGAAGCACCCTTATAAAACTTACATTTTTCAACCGATTGGAATGATTTTTTTTTTTGTTAGGTAGATATTTAAAAAGTCTATTAGGACACCAAATATCATGAATAAATCTTCATTTCCAGGGCCAACTAATCTGATTTTTCAAGGTCAAAAATCTAAAAAAATTACTAGCGATTTTTTTAGAAAAAATCTGACTACACCACTGGATTTGTGACATTTTCATTTCATTTTAATGGGTAACATGTAAATTACGTTGAAATGCGTCAATCAATAAAAAAGTTATAAAGGAATGAAATTTGAAAAATATGCCGTTTAATCAACCCATCAATTTTTATTACTGAACAGATTTCGATGAAACTGTGATCAGTAATATTTCAAGACATCCTGAATCCAGTGGAGTATACAGAATTTTCATAAAATTTCTGAACATGAATTGGTGGGTTGATTAAACGGCATATTTTTCAAATTTCATTCCTTTATAACTTTTTTATTGATTGACGCATTTCAACGTTATTTACATGTTACCCATTTGAAAATGTCACAAATCCAGTGGTGTAGTCAGATTTTTTCTAAAAAAATCGCTAGTATTTTTTTTAGATTTTTTACCTTGAAAAATCAGATTAGTTGGCCCTGGAAATGGAGATTTATTCATGATATTTGGTGTCCTAATAGACTTCTTGAATATCTACCTAACAAAAAAAAATCATTCCAATCGGTTGAAAAATGTAAGTTTTATAAGAGTGCTTCCATCTTAAATGGGTCACACTGTATATATCGAACAAATCGGTATATTTCTATAAATGTGTGTATGCGCATTGAAAAATTACCTCTCACGTGTTGTAACCTAATAATATACCATTTTGTAACATCTTTGTGAGGTTATTTGATATTTTAAATATTTTACACTCGCTTCTCATCTACGAATGCAAGTCCTCAAACTGAACAGACTGCCACAGAATCGAATTTCCCCGTGTCTGTGAAATATCATGTTAGGATATCTGTAACTAACTTTACCTACGGCCACTATTGAAAGTAGTCACACGAGATATAGCCTCAGTAAGAAGCTCTTTTAGCACAGTAAGCACATCGCACAGTTTTCGTTTATTCCGCCAGTCATGATCGCGTAATCGCCGTCAACAGCGGATGCATAACTGTCAAGAATTATAATTCAGACTGTATGTCCAAACTTTGTTGATGTACTATATGGCAGTAAGTATAGTAGGTAATGAGTATTGTAAAGCAATTACAACTTTTCCATTCATGTGTAACATGCTTCTTACAACACATATCACGTAATATACTATTACACACGCTTCTCATCTACCAATGCAAGTCCTCAAACAGAACAGACAGCCACAGAATCGAATTTCCCCGTGTCTGGGAAATATCACGCTAAGATATCTGTAAACTGTAACTAACTTTTCTCAACAGATTTGACACGGCCGAACCATATTCAATCACAAAGTAGTATGCTTTAGATTTATAATATCGAATAAGTTATACTGAAATGCCGAAAACTAATCTCACATTAGCTGGAAGACTATCAATAACAACAACAAATTACATTTCTTACAAGGATTATTGCGAAACTTTGCAGTCCGCCATGTTCATCTTCAAACACCTTACAATAACTCATGTTTATGAATATCACCAGTGACTTTTTTAAAATTATGTTTCTATGGGTGTATTATTATCTTATAAAGGTTGTTATATTATTTATCATAAGCTATTTATCCCGAGTTGAATGAAATTCCACAGAGGTCCTTAGAATGTGATGTATTTTCTACAAAAAATAAGAGAAATACATCGCTCTCTTCTACTAGTTTCTCTGAGGTATACAGTCACTGGTGTGCATACAATAGAAGCATGAAAGCATTGACTACCTCAGAAAAACAAAAATAATATCGATACACAGTTTTTTACACAATTTTCTTCTGCGGATATATGCGGTATTGGCGCTCTACTTTGTATAAGCAAATAAGCATTTAAAATGAGAGCAACGCAATTGCGCTGATCAATAGAAATTCGTATGGAGCGAAAAAGCACTGCTTTCTACCTGCAATTCATCGACACTCGAGCCGTGGCGACGCAGAGCGAGGCCGATTGCCACCGGCCGGGGACCCGAGCGATTACGAACAATAATAAAACGGTATACGGAAGACGTTTGAGGACTCAGTGATGCCAGGTGAGGATTTATTGCATTCACTCAGGGCCTATTCTATCTTTTTTGGTGAAATGCGACATTGAATTCAATTTGGCGACTGGCGAAATTCTGAAATGTACAGGAGATTTATTAGGTGCGTTCGGTTATAACATATCTGTTAGCTCGATTCCATCTGTTAGCTCGGAAAGCGTTCGATAAATCAGATCTACTTCCTCTGTCTAATCTGCTCCGTTCTCGTTAATTGTCAGAGCGAGCTGAAAGATGTAATCTGTTTGCTATGCCTTGAGGAGCAGATCATTCGGATTTGATCGGTCATTCGGTTGTCAGTTGTCAACAAATCAATGTCAACAACATGTTATTGAAATTATATATCTCTTTTGTGTCGAAAAATGAAAGACTTGATCAACTGGAAACGAAACACGAAACTGAATTTTGTAGAATCCTCCTTGCCTAGAATCGCCAGAATGACCGACGAATTTGCTGTAGGTAGCATATTATAAACAGCGATGTGCATTCATTGGTGTGTAACGCCTATTCCTAATCTGAAATGGAATTCCGATATTTTCCAAATATAAATCTAAGTAAACAACAAACATTAAAAAGAACTTTGTTGCCCTGACGTGTTTTCAAAAGTAATAAGGTTCAGTGAATTGTTTCTGTTTTCTGTAACTTCTGACAGGCGCTCGCAATCAACTATCTCGTTGAGCGTTCGTTAAATATGTTTAGCTCTATCAGCTAGGTGATCACGTGACACCAAATCTGCATCTGCTCGCTCGGCTCCGATTTTGTTAAACCGAACGCACCTATTATAGGTGATAATGCGACAATCAATGGTAACCATTTGCAATCAAGTTTTGTAAATAGACAACTTGTAAGGATTTACTACGGAAACGGAACTGCGTAGCATTGTACGCCACTGATGGGTATACTCACTTGCAAATAGTAGGGCCAGACCATGGTGAGCACGGTAGAAATAGCGAAGTAGGCGGCGAAGATGATGGACAACGAGACGACGATGGACAGCGGGATGTCCCTCTGGGGGTTTTTCGCCTCTTCGCCGGTGGTGGCGACCGCGTCGAAGCCCACGAAGCCGTAGAAGCACTTGGCGGCGCCCGCTGTCACGCCCGACACGCCAAAGGGCAGGAAGCCGCCCGCGCCCGCCGCCGCCTTGTATTTGTCGTCGATGTCAGCGACGTTTATGCGCCAGTTTTTCACGTCGGCTGGAACAATTGAAATCATCGGTTATTCGCTCAAATCGGTCAAAGCTTGGGAATTCTCTGCCAAAAGAAGTATTCCGAAGAACTGAAAAATTTCCAGGAGTTCAAAAAAACAACAATTCCTACCTCATCTCCCTATCCTCCCACAGAATAATAGAACATCAATCAGAATGTTTGAAGAGGGGGAAGTAGGGGATCATTGGAGTTCAACTACTTGGACTGCTCGGATATTATAGAAATATCGACGTCAAGAAAACATGTTGAATTACCTCCCACAGCAAGTCTCACAGTTGCTCCTTCACTGGGCCCCATGGGAGTAAATCAAGAGCTTTTGCTTGAGCGAGTAGATAAAAGTTATTAAGGTCAGTAATCCATCTTCAACTTTGAATTTATTGAATCATGCTATATTTTGGACAGATGATGATGATCCAAGAAAAACCCCCACCAAGGTTGGCAAAAATGATGCATTGTAAACGCTTGAAGTATATGCAGGGGTGCATTCCTGATTGGTCTAATGAGGTACCTTGGGGTAATAAGGCCCGGTAGAAAATACAGTCCACCCTGTTTATCTTGGACATGAGACGTCATGTATCAACCAGTGTCTTAATAAGCTGTATATAACTTTCTGCTAGTTTCGCTGACTGTTATTGAGGAAACTGTGGAAGAATCGGCCACTCGGCCTAACAGTTCTCCTATTATCTACCATTGTACAACCAACTCTATGTGTGTTTCATGTAACATGTTTAGATGGAATTTTACCACATAGAAGCCAAATATTGTTTTCCTGTTTTTGATAGGTATACATAACCTCAAATTTTTCGCCCTCCTATTTTTTTCGGGTCATATAGCAACCTCTATAGAGGAAATATATGGCCCATATTCTATGTTTTTTGGAAATTCGTGTTTTTGTTTTTTGTTATGTGATACCTTATTCATTCAGAATGTATTTTGAATCTCATAATTGGTTTATAAAGATTTGTGCAAAATATCAGTAGTCTTAATTAATGAATAATTCTTTTACGGGCAACAATGTTGAACGTGGGCCTTATAACCCCAACGTACCTTACGTGTCCATACTGAAAATCAAGGTTGTGCGAATTCTTGCCAGGCTGAAGTGAGTGATATATTTGTTTCTCCATGATCTTACCTTTAATTGAACCTGCAACTATCGCAACAACAATGGTTATCAAATTGAGAACGGTGAAGGCATTGTTCATGGTTGAAGATTCTTTCACTCCGAACGCCAGTATCCCTGAAAAACATGGAAATAGGAATTTCGTCGAAAGACCATTTTCAAGCTTCATTATAGTGCTTATCTTGACTCTATACTAAGTAAGCAATATGGATATCATTTGTACCTAAATATGTATTGTATACAGACTCTGAAAATACGCCGTGAACTGTATCTACAATTTCCACAAATCCGATCTTTTTGAAAAAGTTTCTTCCAAGGTCAACGGAATATGTTTGATGAAATGATTTTTTGAATAGGAAGGATATAGGTAATGTTAATGTAAATAATGTAATAATAAGGTTTAGAAAACAATGTTTTATTGCTATATTGTCAGGTAGCCGTGCGGACAGAATGTCAATATTCCAATATCCGCATGGGCTTGCCGGTCGTGGATTCAATTCCCAGCGACTGCAGAAATTTTTCTGATGGCCCAAGAAAGTGTTTGGGATCACACGTTAAAAGGTAAGGCCTCCGTCATTCCTTGCTCGCACAAGACTCTCGAAGACTTCTGAGGGTTGCTCGTAAGGGGGCAACCGCATGACGGATAGAACAAATTTGGAACAAACAATTTAATAATAATTTTCAAGAGTAATATACATTTAATCACGAATTTATTGAGATAGTTCTGAAAAATGTATGGTCCATTCCACATTAATACATACTATTATGGAAACACGACAAGTATCCACACGAGGAGAGTGTAGCAACTTTCGGCGTTTTCATGACTTAGGTATTCAGTATATTAATTTTTTTTATTATATTTGAGAAGGCAGTTTATTTCTGGAACATACTTGAGTGCTCACCTGTTAATGCTATGACGAAAATAAACGACAGGAAATCTGGATAAGGTGACAAAAAATCGATATCCATCGGCATCCATTCCGTAAGGGTCTTTCGAATTCTTTTGTCCGTTAGAGCATCTATGTAGTTGCTCATACCTCTTGCGACACTAGCTGTACCTGAAGAAAAAACCACACATTCCTTCCAAAATATCTATGAGACATTGAAATGATCAAAACGCATCGCCATATTAAATTTAACTATTTATATACACTTGATTTCCCATTATTACCAAGACCTTTCACTCGGTAGTCATATACCGCGAGTCTCAGTTTAATTAGCCCCCCCTCTATCTTAGTTAGTCGTGTGATTCTGTTGTCGAAGAGGCTCTTATGCATTGGAATCTGCCAATGTCCACTACACTGTTTTACCACTAACCAAACCGATTTTTTACGCCTCGACACGTGTTTCGCTAACTATGTTAGCATCTTCAGGAGAACATTAAAACTGATGTCGAGGCGTTAAATCTTCGATTTGCCAATATCCAATTTAGAATTTAGAGATCCAAATATGCAACAATTTCACCGATTCCTAATTATCTTATCGTATCAGGAATTGGGAGGAGGGTGTTGAGATACAATGACTAGAATGACTATAGCCGGATGACCCCCAACATCAGCATTATTTGTACCTCCTGGTCAATGATTTCTCTCTTCTTTTCAAATGATGTGCCTGTTTTTTTGAGACCCTTCATAGGAATTTTGTGAAAATTCACATATTGAGATTTGAAACCATGAACGATATTATGAGGTCAGTTCTCCTGTGAAAAATTACTAATATTCCATAAAAAATTGACACATTTTCATTTTAATAAAAACGCACGACACTGTCCAGAAGCATTTATGTCTCTGAAAAACTTATCATATTGATGAGCATTCCTACCGGTCCCAATTCGGTGAAGATCGTACGACTAAAGCTGTGATATAGAGATGGGGGGGGGGGCGCATTTGAAATGAGACACGCTGTAGATTCGTTAATGTTTAATATTTTTTCATGAAACTTGGTACAGATCTACTCCATAGGGCGCCGATTCCAGTGGTTCACAATGATTTTTTCTAAAAAAAATCGCTAATATGGATTCTTGTTTTTTCAGTCTCTGAAGGTGATCTAGTAGGTCTTGGTTTCAAGAAGAAAATGGACGCCGTTTAGCTCCAAAATGCACCTTTCCCCCTCTACATTTAAAAAAAATGTTAAAATCGCTCCATAAATAAAAGTTAAGGTGATGGCTCGCTCTCAAATGGGTCACTCTATGTATATGTCAGATCACAACAATGTGGCCTACCTCGCTATCCAGTAATCTCTGCACAATATACAGGATGTTATTCAAATATGTGGCCAAACTTCAAGAGGTGATTTAATTTTAAAAATCGGTTCTTCGTAAATATCGCAAACATCTCTAGTCCTATAAACTTTGTTGAAATATTACAGTATGTTTGAGGGTTCATGGTAAGTATTAAAGGACTAATTCAGCCTGATGTTGAATTACGAAAAACGTATTTCTCGTCGACCTCAACAAAAAATCACAATTTACGTTCTAATTTCCGAACGAAAAACCGAGTATTTCCGAAAGCGATTACTTTTCGTCCGCAGACACAAACTTCTCGTCCGCAAACACTTTTGACCCGCTGCAGAGTTGCCAGTTCTACTGGATTTTCTGTGGATCTCTTGATTAGCATATTGATCTACTGAAATATTTCATAATTTGCTGAAAAATATTTTGACCCTTATTTATTATTATAATAACCTATATTATTATTATTCCTCAGTTAATCACGTATACTTATGAATTACATGATATTTTGGCAAGCTCTGTTCGAAATAATTTTACAAAATAAGTAATGAATATACATATAGGTACTATAATGATATGTATAAATCAAAAAAGGACAATACTTCAACTTATTCAGATTACATTTAATTTTTTATATACCTCTGTTATAACAGTTTGTTTCTCACGTTTTATTTTTTTATTTGTTTTGTATTTTTGTCGTTTGTTTTTGGTATTCGTTTCTATTTTTTAAATACCTTAACTGTATTTCGTGATATTTGTCAGTATTTTTGAATTGAGAATTGGAAAGTATGAGAATGTTTGTGTTTCTTGTTTCTATTTTGTTGGAAAGAAGTTACTTTTCTGTTTACTAAAAGTATAATAGTATAATATAAGTAAAATTCGCGAAAATCACGAAGTGAGCGGCCTCTGGTAGCTAACTATGCAAGTCTTGCGAGTATGAACAACATTGACAACAAATATGGCCACCATTGTTTTGAGTTCCATAATTATGTGTTTTATCTGAAAATAATTCATTTGTTGAAGTGCATATTCCAGAAACTCATTTTTTTCTGAAGAAAATACTCGAATTATTGCATGAACTTTTATTGTTTACAATGGAGAAACCAGTACCTACCGTATAATAGGTCAGGTTAGGTTAGGTTAGGTTAGGTCATCGATTGCTGGAGATCCTTGTTTATGTAAATCGATGATATTGTTCATTCATTCAACAATATCTTCTTTTCCAACCCCATCACTAGAATCCCATCTCCTTCATAAAAGCCAGTGATATTTCTTGAAGAATTCAATTATTTCTTCATACCTATACCATATTGTTGTAATAGCTGATTGCTTATACAGTGCTAGTCAAAAGTCCCCTCTCCCCCTCGTATCTTTTGAACGGGTATACTTATAATAATGAAATTTGGAGGGTGGAAATAAACGGATGTAGGCTTCTCAACTGGTCATAACAGGTGACGCAATAGTCATAAATGACGTCACAAGGCCATTATTATAAGTATACCCGTTCAAAAGATACGAGGGGGGGAGGGGACTTTTGACTAGCACTGTATGGTTCCATTCCAGTCCATGCAAGTGTGGAGTGGACAATTCCGACCATTCCATATGTTTGAACTGTGGAATTGTAGTGTGATATCAATGATGAATACCACCATTGTCCACATCAAAATGGCGATTTCTCTGCACGAAAAGTAATTTTTCCATACTGGAAACCTTGTACGTATTTCACGAAGTCAACTTATTATTCACTATTTTGCAAAATGATTTCAAAATAACCAATTTGCAATGAGTGCATACGGCAATGTTTTTGTTGTTCATACTCAGTTTGAAATTTGACGTTGATTTGACGTTTAATAGAGCCATCTATTGGTTTGTGATTTTCGCGAATAGTATAAAATAGATCTTGAACAGATCTATTGAAATCTGCTGAAATTTTCGACAATTTATTGGTATTTATTGATGGAATGAAAATCGAACTGGCAACCTTGGTCCGCGCAGAGAGTGAGTTGACAACAACTGTCAGTTGCTATTGTCAAATTAATTATTCACGAAATCCGATAGATTCACGTGTGGATAGGACCTTGAAGTGTATATATGTGTGTTTGAGGTGGACGAAAAAATGTAATATGCACCTAGCCTGGTTGCTATCCTCGTCTAAAGCATCGTTTTTCGTCATTGGTACATAAATAACTATTTTGAAAAAAAATAATATTCCGTATCTTGAAAACTTTGCACTTCTGGCCCTTGAAGTTTGACCACATACCTGTATAGTAGAACGGAAAGTTTTGATTTACCGATGACGTATTCCAGAATCAGGTTCCATCCTATGACGAAGGCGGCGAATTCGCCGACGCTGACGTAACTGTAAACGTAAGCAGAACCCGCTTTCGGAACTCTAGCTGCGAATTCGGCATAGCACAAACCTAAAAAAATATAGAACAAACTGGTTAATTCACGAAGCAAAACAAATCGAAGGATAATTCAGTGAACAAGTGGACCAATTTTTGTTTACTGAACCTCTTACGCTGATGCATTACGGATCAGAAGTCTTGGTCCTCTAATCTAATCTCCTGTATTTTAGCAAATATAATCAACTTCTCAGTAGAAAATGGTTCGTTTCCGTCTGATCTCAATATAGGAATCGTCACCTCAATTTTCTAAAAATGCAATCAGTTGAATCGTGACAATTTCCGCCAAATTACGGTGCAAAGTGTACAGTGGCGTAACTAATATACCGTGGAACCCCGCGGTTGCGGGGGGCCCGTTCTCTAAGGGGGCCCTGGGGCCCTGGGTCCACCTACCAGAGCCCCAGGGACCCAGCCAAATTGGTTGATACATGAATATTTTTTAATTATGAATATGCCACAGAAATAATTTTTCCACTTCTGCGAATAGTGCAGGCATGTTTTCTTCAGTGTCGGTCCAGGGTGGTGTGTGAAATCAACGATACAAAACAATTATTTCAAATGGAGAACTTGATTAAAACTAGTGGTGCTTCAAAAAGGAGAAGGAAACAAAAGTTAGAACATGAAAAGTGTAAACTTTCCAAGATTACCACGTTCTTTACGAATACAACTCCTGTTTCGGATAATACAGTTGAATATTATGATGAATGTCCATCGAGTTGAAGCAGTATGATGAATGAAACAGGAATGGATATTGACTCTGCAATAATTATGGAAGAAAAACTATTATTCCAGATTTTATGGGATTTTCTCTCCTCGTTCCTATAAAATAAAAGTATGAATATTATTTCAATGTACCGGGTGTACCACTAAGAAAGGACGCCGGCTGTATCTCGGAAACTATTTGCCGCACAGATTTCGAAAAAAAATATGAATGATAAAAGTGTCGAAGAGAAATCTCTGGAAAGCCCCTAGAGGGCATTGTGGCATTGCCCAGTTTAATAAACGGGATTTTATGACAATTTGATATATCAAGACATATCAAAAACACTTTCCTCATGTTCTGGAGTTGATTTCCAATCATTTCGATGAAAAAAATTGCGCTAGCTCTTTAAATGAAAGGGGGAGGGAAGGATAGATAGTATTTTGAAAAAACTCCCATTACTACAGTTTGGTGTAGTGATTCACACGAGACCAACGAGACGAGACTTTCATAAAGTCTCGTCTCGTCTCGCAAATGAAATATGAAGTCTTGTCTCGAGTCTCGTCTCGCAGCCCCAAGTCTCGTCTTGTCTCGCGTCTCGTACGAGAGTCTCGCAAATGTATCGCAATTTCGTCATGCATAATCTTGTTCCAGTCTAGTACGGGATATTTACTTTAACCTATTTTTTAGGTATAATGTAGAAGTAGGAAGAGAAGATCATAACAAAAATACCATTATTTATTGAAAAGTAAGTACATAATAGGTACATACTTACATCAAACATCTAAACAAGAAAAAAAACATAGCATTATATATTAGAATGTTATAAAAATAAAATAAAAAGTAACACGTATATTCTAAACAAATGAACAAAACAAAAACTCTAATCCAACATTATTTCGCCTTAGAGAAAGAATAGTCCGTTTTCGTTTCACGCATTACCTCGTTTTACAACAATCACGGATTGTGTTTTTAAAGTATCTATGAATCAAATGTTTTGTCTTTCTGTTCAAAATAGTCTGAATTCTTCCTAATTATGTTGTATTATAAATGAAATCCTCAAGTCTGCAGTCGCCACGCAGAAATATTTACCTGCGAGACTCTCGTACGAGACACGAGAAGTCTTGCACGAGACTCGAGACGAGACAAATAAATGTCTCGTCTCGTCTTGTCCGAGTCTCGTCTCGAGTCTTGTCTCGAAAACGAGACGAGACCATGCGAGACTCTCGAAAACGAGACTCTCGCGGGCACCACTAGTTTGGTGTAACGGAATTCAACGATCTTGCCATCTAGCGGCCACTACAGGATTTAAATCGACTAGTTTCATGATTCATCTGGAAGGACCAGCAAAACCCTTCATAATGAGACCAAGATCGCTGAATTCCGTTAAACCAAACTGTAGTGATAAGAGTTTTTCCAGAGTATACTATTCATCCTTTCCTCCCTTTTTTATTTAAAGAGCTAGCGCAATTTTTTTTGATCGAAATAATTGGAAATCTACTCGAGAACATGGAGAAAGTGTTTCTGATATGTCTTGATATATATCAAATTTTCATAAAAACCCGTTTTTTTTAAGTTGGTCAATGCCATTATGCCCTCTAGCGGCTGTTCTGGAAACTTGAAAATAATATCCAGAGATTTCTTGGCCTTTTTTATCATGAATATTTTTTTCTGAAACCTGTGCGGCAAATAGTTTTCGAGATACAGCCGGCGTCCTTTCTTAGTGTACGTGTAGTAAGGACAAATCAGATGATTTGCCCGAAAATGTCACTGCGTTTAAAGAATTTTCCTATGAGAGAGCCTAACGAAAAATTCACTTGCTTCTCAGTGACAATTTGTAGTGAAAATGTTTGGAGAAGAGAAATAAAGGTATATAGAAAAAATATCTAATTTTTACTCAGCAAATGACGAGACTGCGGCTACTACTGCATTCGAAACTGTAGGTACAGATGGTGTGAATATAAAAAGTATTATATCTGAAATCCACGAGGAGCCCATACCTGACTTGAATGCGAGAACTCCTGGATATGGAACTGAGTCAGATGATTCATTACTGGATGTATTAATTAAAGAATAATTTCCTTGTGATAAAGGCAATTTCAGTGGCCGAGAATTGTGCAACACGATAAAAATGTTTATTGTTCGTAATGGCCCGTCTCAACCAGATATAAATTTTCCATAAGAGGAGTTTCTCTGATTCTTACTATTCACAGAAAAGTCATGCTGAGCAAATCATTCCAAGAAAATGGTTGTGTTATGCACCCAAAGAAAATAAAATATATTGTGAAGCCTGATGTTGGTTATTCAATATAACTAATAGTTCATGGAAAGAAGGGACTTCTGACTGAAAAGGTTTGTCTCGAGGGGGCCCAAAATATGAAGTTACGCCACTGAAAGTGTATTATATAAACTATTAGAAAAGTGTATCTTCAAGCAAATGCTGTCGTTCCTTCCAAAATACGATGTCTTTACAGAACATCAAAATGTTCTTGAGTGCATCTATTGCACTTTTCAATTACATCCATACTTCGTTGGATAAAAAAGGGTAGGTGCACTGTTCTTTGATCTCTCGAAGGCCTTCGACTCAATTAATACTAATATTACAATTATTAATCTGAGAGAACTAGGTTTTCGGGGGAAATTTCTCTCATGGCTCGCTTCATACCTTGAATTTAGAAAAATTATTGCAAGAATTGACGGTAAGAGATCCCTTCCATATGTCGTGGACTCTGGTGTACCACACGGATCAATTCTAGATCCGTTAATGTTCTTATTATACGTGAATGATCTACCAAAATACGTCAGCATGAAATATTTGGTTTTATGTGCTGATGACACCACTTTGGCAACTGATGACATTATTTGTGAAATATCCAGTGACACCTAAGATTAGGAGAGGGAGAATGAGATGGCGACCTTCAATATCTACGACACTGGAGAATTTCTTCAAAATGACCTCAATCATAGCTCAGAAATTCGATACATTAGTCTATGTGCGAAATGTTTTTCATGGAAGTCTACTTCTTTTCTATTGTTCCAGCACCTATGGAAATTGGTGACGTATAACCTGAACCACCCTGTTTATCGGATATCTGAAGGTCTTCTTCAAATCATTGTTTTGGAGAGACTAGCCTTCCATTTATACACTCAGTTCCAAAAAAAGTGACCCACTTGATATTTGACCTATCTTCTTGAAAAAACAAAAAATGGTAGGCCGAGTTCTTTTTATTTGTTGGTAGGTAATGCGTTTGTCTTTAAAAAAAATAAAGAGGTGAGAATTTTCTCAAAGCCTTCTTGATGGTGGTGGAATAACTCGAACCATGATTTGTTCTTAATTTTTGACTCACCCTGTGTTTTAATTGAGTAATGGTATACAAAGTGGTTACACCCTATACGAAAGAGGCTTCTTTTGCGAGCATTTTGTTTTTTTATTCATTGATTTATCTCTATAATTTTCTGAATTACAGCTTTTTTGCTGATACCTTACGCTTATCCCACAAATCAAATTTATTGAAGGATCAGAATACTCAACATTGATTGGGTTGTACTCTGGTAGGATCACATTGTCTTAAAAAAAAACAAATGCCGTTGCCATAGGAACTAATTTGTTGTATGCCTCCATATTGGACCATTTGTCGTTGTGTCATTAATTAAGTGTCTTGTTTTATTGACTAAAATTACATAAAATGCCTCAAATAACTCCTGAACAAGTAGCAAGATTAGTTGCGTTAGTAAACGATGGGCGTAGTAAACGTTACGCCGCTCGTGCAGTGGGAGTTCATGAAGCAACTGCTCGTAGAGCAATCCGCAAGTACGAACAAACAGGAAGCACTGCTCAGAGGGTCGGTTCTGGTCGCCCCCGAAAAACTTCTCCAAGGGATGATCGCTTCTTGAGATTGCGGATTTCACGGAATTGTTTCTCGATAATCTGCAACGATTCAGCAAAAAAAGCTGTAATTCGGAAAATTTTAGAGATAAATCAATGAATAAGGAAACAAAATGCTCGCAGAAGAAGCCTCTTTCGTATAGGGTGTAAGCACTTTCTACGCCATTACTCAATTAACACACAGGGTGAGTCAAAAATTAAGAATAAATCATGGTCCGAGTTATTCCACCACCATCAAGGAGGCTTTGAAAAAATGTTCACCTCTTTATTGTTTTTTAAAGACAAATGCATTACCTACCAACAAATAAAAAAAAAAACGGCCTACTATTTTTTTTTTTTTTTCAAGAAGATAGGTCAAATATCAAGTGCGTCACTTTTTTTAGAACTGAGTGTAGTCGAAACTGTAAATTAGCCCAGTTTGTTGTTAATTGGCAGCCAATTTACAGTTGCAGTTGTAGGATGGCAGTACAGAGCTGCTGTAATTCTTTAACTTTTTTATGACAGTTATAAAAGAGGAAATTGATGAAAGTTATGAGAGAATGCATCGTGGAACACCTTGTACCTACTTGATTTCTGCTACATTCGATACCTATACGCAAACGAAACATTTTTAAAATAATTTTGAATAATATGAATATTTTGAAATTGTTTATAAACGGAATTGTAGCATATTGATAAGGATGAATACCAAAGAAGTTTGGTCTATATATATGTACATAGATAAAATTATTTTCTGTTTTTTTTACTATACGAAGTACCTATGCGGTGTTTGACATACGAACAGGAAATCATTTTTCAGATTTCCTGAACAACTGTTATAAAGGACGATAAAGACAGAAAGAGAATTGTAAACTTGGGGTTGTAAATTCGAGAAATTGGTGCAGATTTTTTAATTTATGTTACACTATGAGCTTCCCGTTTTCGGTCACGTGACATTAGATTCAGATTCAATAATGGGACAACCTGTATATTTTGGCATTTCTTAATTCCTGCAGACTAAACGATTCCAACAAACTTGTGGTCGTAAATGAGATATATACAGACTACTCACTTCAATATTCTTTGTCCCACGGCTATTACAACAAACGAGACGACAACGTCTGAAACGAGCTAATTGCAAAATTATTTGAGTTTAGGGTTAGAGTCACCCTGTATATTTGGGCAGTTCTATATTTTTGTGATTATCAAATCAAGGCAAAATTATATCAATCATTCATATATTCATTATAAAACGTAGTCTAAAAACTTTGGGACGAAGGATATTGAGGTACCCATAATAAGTGTGAATCTGAATCTGGTGTCACGTGATCAGAAACAAAAAGCTCATTGCATAACATAATATCAAAAAGAGCTGCACCATTGTCGATCTAAATGAAAACCTAGTAGGCGACCTAGTGCGAGGAGGTTATTATAGCTCCTGCCTACTAACTACCTAACTAGGTTGTCATCTAGAACGACAATGGCTGCACTAATTGCTTTGATTTACAACACCAATTAAACAATGTTTTACTAATGTCGAGTCCCGAGATATTTCCTGCCATATTCGTCGTGGGACTCCCTGTACATAGAGTCTGTAGGAAAATCAAGAAGGCGAAACATTTCTGAGATATTCTCTCCTCGTCACTACCTATAAATAATAGAAGACTATAAACCCAGAGACTAAAGTGGAACTTTTAATCCCCTCAGATCGGGCTACAATTCGCTGAGTGGTTAGGAAGAACTTCACTACTGGTTTATGTTTATCATATGGAGGAGTGGAAAAACAAAAAATAAAAAAATTAAGAAGATAATGGTCGGTAGTACTCTCGTACTCGTAGTAGTAGTAGTGCAATTTCAAAATGTCAACTTTGCTGACTCATGGGTGGTTATCATATTTTTGTTGACATCGAGAAGCGATGTTGAAAGCGTTATTGGTAATTGAGTCCTAATTGCAAGATTAATCTTGCAATTACCTTAATTGGCAGAATAATATGGGGGAGACTGATTTTTAAAAACAACATTATCGTGAACTCTACACCAAAAAACTACCAGTAAAAAATATAATTTTGAAATTTTCCATTCATACTAGAGCGACAAAAAAAAATTATATGTTCATCCCAAAACACACACTTCCTGCGCCAGTTGAAATATTGTCAATTCATTGGTATGACCAGGTGTGAAGTATTTTAGTCCCAACACGCCTATTGTCCTTGAGCTGACCAATCACAATGCAACATTGCAAAATAGTAAGGTATCAGAGAAATATATCTATATACAGTTCGGGACTACTACGTCACAACTCTCACTTTATACCTGACTTTTTGAAATATCGAATGGAATGTGCTGATTTCAAAACGCTATAGATCCGATTCCCTTCAACTTTAGTTTCAGTTATTTATTATACAAGGGAAAAAAGTAGTAAAATCTAATATTTTTCCCGTGTATAATACACAATTTTTTTTTGTGACAGAAGGAAGGACGAATCAATATTGAGAAGATATTATATTATTTTGAAATCTGAAAATTATCGACGTAAAATTTTAAGATTTAAACAGTAGGAACACCTGCGTTGAAGGCATCTTTATCATTCTTTTGAAGTAATCGAATATCTGATGATACTTCTGTAAGTCTAATTCTGTGATTCGATTTCAAAAAATTGCGAATTTAGTGGTTGTTTATTAGTAATATACGTAGCCGCGAAGTCGAATGGAAGATAAAAGGACTTGCAGTTCTTTCTCGGAGACCGTATTATTGACTCATTTTTCGGAACTATAGCACAATAAAAGCCAACAACAGTGTATATATATGTGATATATATCCGGGAAAAAAGTACTTACTTTTTTTCCCACGGGAAAAAAGTAATTTATGAAAAGTGACATTTTATAACCTGCCTACAGAGATGAAATGCCAAACTTTTTTCCCGTCACAGAAAAATAACTATTTTCGCATGAAGAAGGACTATTTTCAACCTTACTTGTCCTGATTGAACCTTTTCTCTGAAAAGTATATTTTCGAAAAATTACTTGAGTGAAAGAAATATAAAGAATGGATATTTCGCAAGGGTTGAACCCCATCAGTCCTTGGAAGTCAGACACGCAGACCACTGAGCTATCGCTTAAAGAGGCGTTTACAACCAAACTTTTCACGTTTCGAATGCTGATTTGTCAAGCAGAATCTGAAATTAAACGTATATTGAACTTATTATGCAATGTCTTTTACAACAACCAAAAATCAACGTGACTTTTCACGGCTTTTTTCAGTTGCCTTCATTTTGTCATTTGTTTTTCATCAATAATTTTGATTAGATAACTAATAATATTCATGGGACTGGCGGTGACGTAGATTGATCCTTATTCAATATTTGAAGAGAAAAGTCAATCCTCATGAAGAAAATAATAAATTGAACAGTGTGCCTATCTACTATTTTGTGGATTCACGAAAAAATCATGAGCAAAATCATTATCATATCTTCCATGCATTGAACTCAATGTAAACAACTGTAGAATGTTCCATATATGTATTGTTCTATTCGAATCAGAACTAACAGTAGGATTTTCCATTTTATAGCAATATCATTTGTCTACTTTTACTATGTTCACAGACGATGGCTCCATGCAACGCAAAAAGCTGAATATTTTCAGCATTTACCGTCATTTCAATTACAGATTCTGGTTCACCAATCAGAATACGAAACGTAAAAAGCAAAACATGAAAAGTTTGATTGTGAACTCCGCTTTACTCGTAGTTTCTCAATATGAAGAAGGAAGAAATGAGGAGCTCGCGTGCAGTTTCGTGTGCTTTATCGCCTGGTGCATTGATAATAAATGAGCTATATTCAACTGTAATCGCTGCCTGAAAGTTAGGTTTTGGAGCAAAATCAGATATATCCTCAAATTTGCAAGCAAAACCGGTTATATCCGTGCGGGCTCGAGCCCAATGTATAAAGGAATTGATGGTACTGAAGATAATGAAGTCGATGAAAATGATGAAACATGTAGATCGAGCATATTCAAGAGAATGTTAATGCAATAATACAAGTGAAAATATACATAATTCATGAAAATTTCTCCAATGTTGGTGCAAAACAAGGTAAATTATTTGTTACTGTATATTAATCTGGATTTCCTATTAAATTCCTCCAAAAGTGATTTATTTTATTCATTATCCAGATTCTAATCCATCTACGGTGAGATTTTGCATATTTGAATCAGGCAACAGATTGCAGACGTTTTTCTTGTTCAACTGCTAAATCTCATAACTAAGAGATCTAGGATGAACAGAGTTGCCCCAATTGTCAGCAGGAGCGAGACAGTACTGTTTCGACCCACCAGGTCTCATCAGCCGCTCTCGGTCTGCTGACAACTGGGACAACTCTACGCTTCGGGTATATCACCCATTTCGAAGACGCAGGGTATAACATGAAGTTGTAGTCATGTTGTAGCCATCTTGTGGCAAAGCTCTGAGGTAGGATACTACTTATGAGATTTAGCAGTTGAATAGGTGGTGGAAAAATTCCACTCAAGTATGTCAGGTAGTGCCATCTGTCAGCAGAGTGATTTACTTGTAGTACCACTCTGTAGCGTATAGACGTAGGGGTCTGTACGTGTGACTTTGGATGGCAGCGCCAAACAGTGTATGTCGCGATATCTCTGTATCCTACCTCAGAGCTTTGCCGCAAGATGGCTACAACATGACTACAACTTCATGTTATAGTTTTTCTTGTTTCCTGAAAAATTTTGAATGGTTTTGCACGCGAGCTCCTCAAAAATTATTCGCTTGTTTTAGCTAGACTTAATTAAAGTAATGCCACTAACCTGCTACCGCCGAAGCTACCGCCGCCACCAGGAAAGACAGGCACACGGCCGGTCCCGCCACCGTCTTGGCCACGGACCCCGCCAAGACGTACACCCCCAAGCCGAGGGTGGCTCCTACCCCGAGGGCCGTGAGGTCCAAGAGGGTGAGCACCCGCGCCAAGGGGCTGCCACCGCTCTCGTCTGACATGCGCTTTTTGCGCTTCAGCGCCATGAATATCTGCGACGCCATCTGCAAAAGAAACATGAAAGATGACTTTTATTGAACATTTCATACATTTTGAAGCATATTTCCGAAAATACTGAACTTTTGTTACACGCTGTTCGTTTGAGGTGAGTGTCGCCAAAGTGCAGCAGCAGCATTTTATTTGCACACGGAAGAATTCTCATGTGGAGAACAAGTAGGAAAGCATGTACGACCCAAAATGGTAAAGATACGGGGGCCGTAATTGGGTCAACCTCAGGTTGGAATTTTAACTGAATTTCGGCTTTGATCTCGACATTTCCGAAATCAACCTCGAAATCTCGACTTGTTCCACCAAATTCCGACTTTAATGTTATTAGATATTAGACATAAAAGTCTTGGCCACGGGCTCTACCAGCAATCTCCGACGTTATCTGCAGAAGAACCATGCAAGATGACTTTTTTTGTACATTTCAAAGCATGTTTCCAAGAATAATGAACTTTGGGTACACGCTTTTGATTTAAGGTGAGTGTCGCCAATATGCAGTAGCAGCATTTCATTTGTACACGGAGTGATTCCCATCAATTTGGTGGAAGGTGTCGTGAAAGGTGGTGTTTGAAGAAACAAAGTGAAGGACATATGTAGGAAATCATGTACTCGGCATGTACGACTCGAAATGATTAATATACGATGGCCGTAATTGGGTCATTTAGGTCAGGTAGGAATTTCAACTAAATGTCGACTTTGATCTCGACATTTCCGACTTTACCCTCGAAATTCCCACCTTAATCCCGAAATTTGACTTTTCTCTCGAAATTCCGACTTTAATATTAGAAATTCGACATGGCCATGGACCCTGCTAGTACGTACGAAGGTGACGCCCACTCCGACGCCATCTGCAAAAGAAACACGGAAGATGACTTTTATTGAACATTCCATACATGTTAAAGCATGTTCCCGAAAATAATGAACTTTTGTTAGACGCTTTTTGTTTAAGGTAAGTGTCGCCAATGTGCAGCAGCAGCATTTGATTTGTCCACGAAGGGATTCCCATTAACTTGAACGAAATTTTGATTTCGATCTCGTCATTTCCGAATTTAACATCGAAATTTCGACCTTCATCTCAAACGTTGCTTCTGACTCAAGGTGAGTGTCGCCAAAGTGCAGCAGCAGCATTTTATTTGCACGCAAAAGAATTCTCAAATAGATGACATGTAGGAAGGCATGTACGACCCGAAATGGTAAAGATACGAGGATAGGAAATTGGGTCAACTTCAGGTTGGAATTCCAACTAAATTTCGATTTTGATCTCGACATTACCTACGTCAACATCGAAATTTCGCCCTATATCTCGAAACTATGAGTTGTTTCTCGAAATTCCGACTTGTATACTAGATATTCGACATAAAACTCTTGGTCACGGACCCTGCCAGCACGTACAGGGCCTCAAAGGGACCAGCGCCGCGTGGCGATGTTTTTTAAGATGGTCTCCCAACTGGCTTTTGTGAATACTATACCTCTGTTTACCCTTGGCCTATGTATTTTTGGTATTTTCAATTTTGTTTTTTGCAAACATATTGATGAAGGATTATGATAATCCCTCTGAATATTTCATAAATATTGTGTGGTTCATTCACTTTGTTTTTTATCACACTGACTATATATATCATATGTCCGTATGTATTCAAATATTGTCGTTTATTCATCAGTAGATACTTTTTTGGATGTATGATAAATTAATATTCATTATACAGGACTTGGAAAGAAAATCTGAATAAACCGAGAAAGAATTAATATATTCATCACACGAATTTTCAATGTATTTATTTATATATTGTTACGTTATTCGGGTGTAGAAGCGAACACGACACTATTTATTTTCGAACTGATTTATTTGAATCAAATAAACACTAATTTATATCGAACTTATAACTACTATTTATGTAAAACGATTTATAACACGCGGTATATAACTGTCTCTCTGACACTCGCTGCTTAACTGACTGACGCAGTTGTTCGGCCGTCTTATATATGAGATCCATTGGTAGGCTTTGGTTCGAGAACGTTCTCGAATGATCTTCCGTCTCCGCCAATAAAAAATTGCTGTGGAAAAGGATACAGGGGGTTTAAATCGAAAAGGTATCAACTATTAACTCGTACCACAATTTATTCACCAAGAAATGTCATCTACCATCAACAATTATCTGACAAATTCTCAATTTCAATTTCAGAAGTTTTCATATTTTATTTTCAAACTCTTATCGTGCGTGTTCAATAGATATAATGCAATGTTTGTCGTGGCATATAGCCAGGAAAGTAGTTGTTTTCTATTGAATCAACTGAAAAAGAGTAAATATTCTGATCACATAGAGAATGCGAATTCTCAATGTATTGCTTTATATAAATATATATCCATTTTTGTATGTTCATAATTCATATGAGAAAATTCCTTTTCAACACTTTCATACCCAATCAGGGGGTTCAAACTTGAACGATGGAAACTTGTGATTTTTTATAGACCTCTAATCGCAGATTCGTGATAGGGTCTCAATTCATAATTTCTTTCCACGCCCTGTATGATGAATATCAATTTATCATACACCCAAAAGCATTACGTAGTAATGATGTGTATGTCATATTTTCTAATCAAAGACACTATAATGTTTCGTCAAGGAGAGTTACGTCGATTTCATCATCAGTAATCGTTCACGTGGTGTCCCCTGTAAAAAACCATATGAAAATACATGAAATAAGATTCCCTGATCAAAATCATGCCTCTCTGCTGATTTTGATAACAATTGATACATATATACAGTGGAATTATTAGCAAACAACGAAAAAAAAAATGCAACATTAACGCCCTGTATCTTTTTCCACAGCAATATATTATTGAGGCATATTTGGTCCCATCGCAATGTCCCAATGTTTATGACTCACCTTGTATGAATGATATTTCAGGAACGTCTCGATCGCCTGAAATTCACCAGCAACTTACTTCAACTCAAAGCCTCAACTGACACACCACACGATGGCCTACTATGGAAAAAAAATTCCAGAGTCGGACTTAGAAATGGCAAAATTTCGACTTTCTGAATCGTATTTTTCAAAAACTCACATCAGAATCAACAAGATCAGGAAAAACACTACAAGTGTAGCTTCTCAATTTGTACGGCACACTTCGACCGAATTAGTGAAAAAATATCGAACAAAATACTAAAGAACGATTCCATGATTCTGTACTGGCTATTGTAGTCACATCGTTTAACAAATTCATTTAAATATCTTTCTTGTATATCGGATATCGGTGTATTATAAGAGTTCGAAAGAGGCTCTATTCGATGAAGAATTCCAGGACCGGACTCACTTTTCTTGAAGAGACCTTTCAAAACATGGAAATTAGTACCTACCTGATTTTCTGAAAAAATCCCAATACCTACCTTTTTATCTATCCTTCCTAACTACGCACGATGTTCTTCGAACATTTATAGGAATTTCATTTCGAACGCTCAAAGAAATAAAAAAATATTGAAAATTATTTCTTAGGTACAATATTTTTTCTAAATCAAATTTACGTGCCAACCCATACTACAATCAGCGAATCAAATTGTAAGTTTGGTGTTTTCAATTTTCAGAAAACACTACGAAAGAAGACTGTGATGTATGAAAATGGACATAAATGGGTATTTTCTCTCAACAGGATGGGGCACCTCCATACATTACTCAATACAAGTGAGAGAATCCCTAGACAAACAATTCTCTAATCGCTGAATAGGTCGAGGTAGCCCTAATTCTCGGCCCCCTAAGTCCCCTAATCTACAGTGTTAGACTACACTCAGTTCCAAAAAAAGTGACGCACTTGATATTTGACTTATCTTCTTAAAAAAAAAATAGTAGGCCAATTTTTATTTTTTTTTTATTTGTTGGTAGGTAATGCATTTGTCTTTGAAAAAAAATAAAGAGGTGAGAATTTTTTCAAAGCCTCCTTGATGGTGGTGGAATAACTCGAACCATGATTTATTCCTAATTTTTGACTCACCCCGTGTGTTAATTGAGTAATGGCATAGGAAATGCTTGCATCTGATACAAAAGAGGCTTCTTTTGTGAGCATTTTGTTTTAATATTCATTGATTTATCTCTAAAATTGTCCGATTTACAGCTTTTTTTGCGGAATCCTTGCAGATTACCAACTTTCTGAATTTATCGAGAAACAATTTTCTAATGAAATAAACTGATACCAATAATTATTTTAAAAAACATTTTCATCAAACACAAAATTATAAATTGGGATGACTGCTTAATACCGTGTATTGCCTTCTCTAGCAACTCTAAGAACTTCTAATCTACGAGGCATACTGGAAATTAAGTTGCTTATCGTTTCCATTGGTATACGATCCCATTCTTCCACTAATGCATCTGCCATTTCAGCGAGACTTTCCAGAGACCTCTCGCGAGAACGTACCCTTCTCCCTAATTCATCCCACAAATGTTCTATAGGATTCATATCGGGGCTTTTCGCAGGCCATAGTAATGTGGTAATACCATTAGCTTCTGAGAAGTTTCGCACTATTGCTGCGGTGTGTGGTCGGGCATTATCCTGCATCAATATAAAATTATTGTCCACTAACTCTGCATAAGGTGAGACATACTGCTCAAAAAATGTCAATGTAAAGTTGGGCATTCATCGACTGCCCCACCGGAAAAACATGAAGGGGTGTCTTTCCATTCATTGAAATCCCTCCCCACACCATAACGGACCCACCATTAAAACTTTCGCATTCTGTTATTAAATTTTCCCATGTTAAGGCAAAACCTTGAATCATCCGTAAACAAGACATTCGACCATTCAGGAATATTCCACTGTCCATAATTTTCAACAAAATTTCTTCTAGCAGCACGATGCTCGGGCAATAATTTGGGACCTTTTGCAGGTCTCCTAGCTTTTAAATTGACTTCTTTTAGACGTCTACATACCGTCTGCTTACTTACTGCAACATCACGAATTTGGCGAAGATCTTGCTGAACATTTACCACAGTATTTGATCGATTCCGTAAAATCCGC